AGGAGTCAGAGTTTGTCCATCTCTGCCACTCTGCTCAACTGCAACCTGTTTGCTACTTGACTTTTACATCTTTTTAATGTTAATGGTTTTTTGTCATATTTCTTCTGTTTGTATTAGAATTTGCTCCAATCCTTTCTGGAAGTAGGTTGGATGTTTTAAAATGTAGGTATGGACTTCACTGGTGGTGCAGTGGTTAAGAATCTGCCTGCCAATGCAGGGGACACGGGTTTGAGCCCTGGTCCGGGAAGGGCCCACATGCCGCGGAGCAACTAAGCCCGTGTGCCACAACTACTGAGCCCGCGCACCTAGAGCCCGTGCCCCGCAACAAGAGAAGCCACGACAATGAGAAGCCCGCGCACCGCAACGAAGAGTAGCCCCTGCTCACTGCAACTAGAGAAAGCCCACACACAGCAACGAAGACCCAAACGCAGCCAAATATAATAAATTAATTAAAAAGAAAAAATGCATTTTTAGAAAGTACTATTAAAAATAATAATAAAAAATAAATAAAAATGTAGGTATGTGTACGTGTATGTATATATTGGGTTGGCCAAAAAGTTCATTTGGGGCTTTTGTAACATTGTGCGGAAAACCCCGAATGAACTTTTTGTCCAACCCGATATATACATACGCACATACCTATATATATCAACCATACAAATTTAATATTACACCTTTATTTCATTCTCAGTATCTATCCAGCTAACACCCCTCAACAGGATGAAAATATATATGATAACCACATAAAAGATTAAGACATTCCTCAGGTTGATTGAATGGGCTTCCTTAGAGCCCAGAGGCCAGGGGTTGAACTGCAAGGAAACAGCTCTCTAAAAAGACAGAGTTACATGATAGAGAATTTGTCACTCAAGAATTTAGGCAAATTAAGTCTCTAGAGTGTCTGATTTATCCCAGACTCCCACCTGCACCTACCACTTTTCTATACCAATGGCTAATTGGATCAAAGCCTAGGATAGTCACCCTTGGGAAATGTCTGTCCACCGCACTTCATTCTCCTGTCAGGGAGAACCGCCCCTCAGTCTGTCTTGGGGCACCCTACCTGCGGCCACCTTGTTTGGATCAGGTTGTGCACCTGCCTCAGGCTGGGCCAACCACATCCTCCCTCCTGGGAATTTGGTGTTGGGCTGAGGATGGCCAGTCGCCTGGCTAATCTCTGCAGGAGAGGAGATGTAAGCGTGGTAATCATAGCAGATCATCTCCCACCCAGTCCAGTTGCCCACCAAGAAGAAGAAAATCGATTGCAGAGCGCGAGACAGGAAGCAGAAACGAAGCTGGAGAGGGGTCCTGCCTGGGTGCCTGTCAACCATCCGTCCTCGGACTTGATGACGCACGGCTTTATCTACACACTTGCCTGCACGCTTCAGCCAACTCAAGTTGATGACTTGCAACCCCAAGGTCTTAACTGAGGCAAAGACAAAGCCAGAAGCATCTGTGGGTTTTTCTTGACAGCCGGGTCCCTTAAAGGATCCTGGAGAGCACTGCAGGTCCTAAATACACATTCGCTCTTTGAAGGCTTCTACTGGGCAAAAACATCTTTCCATCCAAGGCCAATGAGATTAGGAAATGGCATTTCCTCCAGCTTTACATTCCCGGAGGGCAAATGTACAGATGACTGGAGTTGGCAATTGACTCTGTGGGTTAGTATTTGCTGAGGGCACACACCCAGGGACTCGAGCACAGAATCCCCAGGCGCCAGGCGGGAGGCTGGCTGTTTTGCTTCCAACCACCTGCCTGTTCTCCCTCCTCTCAATCAGCACCCACCAGAGCCCTGACCCTCAGTGACCGGCAGGATGACCCACTTTTTAAAATGCCAATTTTTAGCAGCTGGAAACGATAAACGTAGAGGGAGGTGAAGATGCCGGAGGATGGATTTCTCTCTGCCTGTTTTCAAAAGGTGAAAGATGCCCTAGGACTGGCGAACAGCAAGGATGTAGTGCAACAGTCGCAGAATGCTGGTGCAACTCCTGCCTCGGAGCCGCTGTGGGACGGTCAGTCCACACACCTCCCTGGGCCTCGGCTTTTACAGCCGCGAAATGAGGAGGTAGAAGTAGATGGTCTTTAATATCCCTTTCATCTTCCACTTTCTATAATCTTTGTAAGCTGGAAAGATTTACACAGAACTCCATCTTGATTTTATTACTTGTAGTTCATCTTCTTGTGACAGAGTCGGCGGCAGAGCCGTTGTGCAGAAGTAAGTGGCTCGCTCTCTCTCTCTGGGATGATTTAAGAGGTGCTGAAAACCCCGAGTACCTCCCTCACTGTTTTGCCACAGCAAAGGCCTGAAGCTTCCCTGTCCCAGAGCCAGCCCTGGCATCCAAGTATTGTCTGTCGATGGTCCTGGTGAGAAGGCAAACACCTACATTGCCCACTGCTCACGGAGCAGATCAACCTGGACTTGCCTCTGGATTCCCTAGGAATGGGATCCAGCAGAGGCACCATGGCCGGGAAGGGTCTGAGGCCCAGGGCACGGCGGTGGCAGACACGCCCGGGCAGTCAAGGGTACAGGGGAGCCCACGAGCAGCAAAGGCTCCAAGGCCAGATAAGGAAGCAGCTCTGAGCCAACTTTACTTGCAAAGGGAGGTGGGTTGTCAGATTCATTTGACTCCCCTGATTCTCTTCTCCTCTTCAGGGTGCCTGGCAGGAAGCAGGAGATTCTCTGACCACCCTCCAGGGGTCCCTCCTCAACACAAGGAAAGCCTGCCCGCAGGCCCCCATAGGCTGTCATGAAAAAAGACTAGGGCAGTTGACCACCTGGAGGCAATAGCACGATTCTGCTGTGGAGCAGCTGCCCAGATCCACCGACGCCCCTCGCATTGCCTGGGCTCACGCTACTGCCACAGCCGGCCCGGGCACCGGCTCCCTGCCTAAGGAGCCACAGGCCCACCACAGCACCCACCCACTCCAAAAACAAGGCTTGGGTGTCAGGTTGTACCAATCCTCATATCTGGTGGCTTCAGCTCTTAACCTGTATAAAAGGAGAAAGGATAATCAGGAGAACTTCCCAGTGATCCTATGGGGGATTTAGTCAATATGGGAGCTGCGTGAGGCTTAGGAATAAATGCACCATCAGCTAGCACCCTGAGGTATTATTCTATAACACAGCATCTTAAACACCGATTCCCCTGCACTGTATTGGAACATGTGTCAAACATGTTCCCTCGGACTTTCTTGGAAGGCTAGACTTGTCAAATCTTTACCTCGTTTTTGGGGTGACGATTAGGGTGTGTTCTGGTGAATGTGTAGATACTAAGTAGAAGTAAAAATAGCACCTGAAGCCCAAACCATCCTTAGTGGTATCTTGAAATCTTCTGAAAAGAAACTACTATCCAAGAACCTAAGTGAACCAGGTGTGTTTTGTATTTGCTGGGGATAAACAGGAAAGGGGCACACATACTTGGGGGACCACAAATGTCCCATCACCGTCACTACCCATCTCCTTAGTCTCCAGAGTAAACAGTTTGTAAAATACCAAAGGGGCCCAAATCCCAGTTTTTCCCAGGCGTTCTTCATGGCCCAGCAGAACTTTCTGGGTATGTTGCAAGAGTGCCATTAAACCTTCAAGTTTAACTTCACTTGCTGGTCTCCCCGCCCTCACTATCGTAGATTTCCTTTGTAGAAGAATGGGAATTGGGGGATTTAAAAACTCTTATTAGATAGTCCAGCAGTTTTGCACCGGGGATATGGGCCTAGGGCCCAGGGAATCTCCCTAATGAGCCACAAGGAGACTCGGGTTAACTGGAAACAACAGCTCCGTAAGCACTCCCTCTGGAGAGAGTCTAGGAATTCAGATTCCTGCTAATGAAAGGCCTCCTCAACATCCTGAGGGGTAAAGATGCACTGATTATGTCCATCGTGAAATACAAGTCTGGATGAATTCTGAGCACATACCTACCTGCAAATCTACCTGCCTGTGCTCCACACAAGGCATGGATTCAATCGGTGCTAAAGGTGAGCCATTTGTCTGAACCAGCAAATACTAGGTCACAGTAGAATAGGGGTTTGGAGTCAGAGAGATGTAGGCTTGAGTCCTGGGTCGGCCACTAAGAGCCATGTGGCAGTGGCCGAGTCACTTAGCCTGTCCCTGCCTCAGTGCCCTCATGTGCAAATGGGAATAAAACAGACTCACACGATCTGATCTGAATCTACTGAGTCTGAAGAAGTGGGAAACAAGACTGTGTGGCCTCATTTCGGGCAGCAGAAATACCACACACTTCTCTGCCTGGGACTCCGTTGTCCGGCCCCTTGTCTTTGCACCCACCTACCTCTGCGCGGAATCCGACGATGCAGTTCCGCCCTAAAGGACCCTCCATCCCCAGCCCACCGGCGTCAACTTGCTCCCCGGCTCTCGCGCCTCCCCCTCGCCTCTCTCCCTCTCGGTCCCATTCGGCTCCCTCATTCTCTTCTCTAAAACAAAAAGTACTGCCGCTCATTAATCCGTGCTGAACTTCAAGGGCAGAATCGTCGTGAAAGTGAGCAGACAAGCGGAGGGCGCTGCCACCCGCCCCTGTGTGAATGCCGCGCTGACGGGCGCTGACGGGCCGGGCCCGAGGGCGGCCCGGGCGCTGGAGCTGCCAGCAAACTTTCCCGTCTGAATTCCAGATCCAGAGCCTGGGAACCACACTCTGCCCAGACGCGAGTGCGACGCCGAAACCAGGGAGCCGCCCGCAGCCCTGGGGGCCGGGGGAGGGGAGAGAAGGGGAAAGGGATGGGGTGGGAGGAGGCGGAGGAAGGAGGAGGTGGGAGGTGAGAGGAGGCGGGGGAAGGGAAGAGTGGGGGGAAGTTGGAGACTGGGAGGTAGGAGGAGGAGTGGGGGAGGGGCGGGGTGGGGCAAGGAGGAGGTGGGAGAAGGAATTGGTGGGTGGGAGGGAGAGAGGGGAGGAGGGGACGGGAGGAGGAGAAGGTGGGGGGATGGGGAGGGGCGGGGCAGAGGGGGAAGGGAGGTAGGAGGGTGGGGGAGGGGAGGGGAGGGCGGAGGAAGGAGGAAGTGCGGGGTAAGAGGAGGGGGAGGGCGCGGAGCCCTGCCGGCGGCCGGAGGACCGGCGGGCGCTGACTGCGACCACCGCTCTCGGGCAGCGGACGCGCTGCTTTGGAAGATGAGGTCAGCACCGCGGAGCTTTCCTGAAACACACACCCCCCACCCCCAAAAAAAGAAAAAAACAAGAGCAGCCCGCCCCGCCCTGGCCTGGGCAGCAGCGGCGGCGGGGGCAGCAGCACGCCGGCCGGTGGGCGCGGGGTGCGGAGGGCGCGGGGCGCGAGGGGCGCTCCCCGTGGCCGCGGCCGCTCAGTCCGGGATCTGGGCTCCGTCAGACTTCCGGGAGAGAGGAGGTTTTTCTTCTCCAAAATCCACCAGACTCCTTTGATGCGCTTTTGTTTTACAGTGGAAAACTACAATAAAAAAAACATAGCCATGAAAATAAGTGAGATTAAAACCTGCCGGCTTCACTTCCTGGAGGCTTTTTGTTGGGTCTTGAAACTAGGAGTCTTTGCGGGTCATCCTTGTAAGTGCCTTTTTAATCCGTTCACACTGATGCTTGTGCGTCCATACTGCGTTTAACATCCATTATTAGACGGGTGACGCTGTGACATTGTGTTCAGTTGATTTGATGATTTCTGCTTTGGACGGTTGACGTTGCCTCGCTTGATAACACGACATAAATGCATACATGTTGCAAAAAGAAACCCTGTCTTAAAATAGAGATGAAAATATTCCCTAAGGCGCTGCCAATATCGAAAGAGTGAAGTGTTATTTAGACCGTGGAAGTGTTAGAAACAACAATAATTCATTGGCTGGTTCATAGTCCTACGTAACTTAACATTTTAAATCATTAAATAATAGGGGTAAAACCCCTATTAGTTGTTTTAAACTTCCTGTTTCCGAACGTGTAGCATTACATCATATGAAGCGAATCGCATTATCAGCTCGGTAAGTGAGAGAGAATTTCTGCTCTGAAACAGAGCAGTTTTAATGCTTAAATACCAAGAAGTTCTTCTTAGGAAATCTCCAAATGCAGTCAATTAATATTAAACAGATGCAGGGACTTCCCTGGTGGTCCAGTAAAGACTACCCGCTCCCAATGCAGGGGGCCAGGGTTCGATCCCTGGTCAGGGAACTAAATCCCACATGCCGCAACTAAGACCCGGCACAGCCAAATAAATAAATAGTAAAAAATAAAATTAAATTTAAAAAATAAAGCAGATGCAGTAGGGGGTGCATACTAAAACTGAAGGCTCTTCCCCCCCCGGAGAATTTACTCCATTTTCCTTTAAAATGAGCCAGCGAATCATTAATTTTAAATTGGCCAATGCCAATGGAAGATCACGCCAAAACCAGAATGAGGCATCCCAACAAGTGGTAAGTAAATAGAAAGGCCCAGTTCAGTTTACAAAAATTTGGCCTTCAGGCTGTGTCTCATACACCTGCATGAAGTCAAAGACGATGTGATGCACATTTTATCACGTTAAACCAGCAGCAGTGATAGGGTGTACCTTCATGTAAACAGGATGCACAGACGCACGTTTCACGGAACTATTAATATCCCAGTTACTCCATGTAGCTTAAGTCTCTGGGAGGGAGCTCCAGACCAGAGGTTGTAGACTGGCGCTGCATGGGCCCGTCCTTGTTTTCCAGACCTGTTTGTTTGCCCTTTGAAGTGTGTTTTAAACTTTTGAATTCGTTATCTATATTTAAAAATCAGGCGACTTCCCTGGTGGCGCAGTGGTTAAGAATCCGCCTGCCAATGCAGGAGACACGGGTTCAAGCCCTGGGCCGGGAAGATCCCACATGCCGCGGAGCAACTAAGCCCACAAGCCACAACTACTGACCCTCGCGTCGCAACTACTGAAGCCCGGGCACCTAGAGCCTGTGCTCCGCAACCAGAGAAGCTACCACAGTGAGAAGCCCGTGCACCGCAACAAAGGGTAGCCCCTGCTCACAGCAACTACAGAAAGCCCGCGCTCAGCAATTAAGACCCAACGCAGCCAAAAATAAAAAAATAAATTTTTAAAAATAAATAAAATAAAAATCAGGATATTTCACAGGGAAAGCTGGACTTTTGGCTTCTCTTCTTTGGCTGCATTGGGTCTTTGTTGCTGCTCACGGGCTTTCTCTAGTTGCGGCGAGCGGGGCCTACTCTTCATTGCGGTGCGCCAGCTTCTCATTGCGGTGGCTTTTCTCGTTGCAGACCACGGGCTCTAGGCACGCGGGCTTCAGTAGTTCTGGCTTCTGGGCTCTAGAGCACAGGCTCAGTAGTTGTGGCGCATGGGCTTAGTTGCTCCGCGGCATGTGGGATCTTCCCGGACCAGGGATCGAACATGGTCTCCTGCACTGGCAGGCGGATTCTTAACCACTGCACCACCAGGCAAGTCCCTTGGGCTCTCTTTGAAATCTGAGAAGACTTGGAGCAGAGCGGCAGCGTCAGTTGTAACAGTCTACACCTCCCCTGTTGTCCTCCTAAGGTATTTGTCTGTCCTATGCGCAAGTTTTCTGCCCCAGACAAATCACTTCATCTGGTGTTTGGCCTTTTTATAAGGATTATTAAATTCACAGATGGTTTAGACACTCTCTGTCTAGACCTAATGCATGTATAATTAAAACCTCAAATCTTGATTTCCACAAATTCACCTTGACAGATTCAACCAATCAGAAACTGAGTCTGCGTACATTCCCTAAAGACAGGCGCTACGGAGTGTCCGGATTCCCTCCATTCTGCATTTGCCCAAGATGCAGCAAGACATAGGGGTGCGTGTGGTCTCAGGAATTAAACAGACCTGTTTTGGATTCCCACTAGGTACTTGCTGTGCAGTGTTAGGCAAGTTATTTGCTATCCTTGAGCTTGTTTCCTTAAAAATAGATATAAGAAAACTACCCCTTTGAATTATTGAATATTAAGTAGTTATATGTGAAAGCATCTTAAACAGTCCCTGGTCCATAGGAACCACCCAAAATATTAATTTCTCACGCCCTTGGGATTTCAGTTACTCATGCGGATATTTGAGAGAGAATTCTTACTAGATCTTTTTTCTTGTCTATGAAATCCTACTTTAGTAGAATCCAAACTTTGGTGTGTGTAAGAGACTTACCCGGATACTTGATTACAGTGCTAGTTTCTGGGTCCCTCTTCTAAGGTATAGGAAGTCTCAAGTAGGGCCCTGGGGTTTGACATTTTAACATTTAATTCTGGGGCACGAGTCCTCAGCCCTCACTCTGACAGTCCCCGTTCTGGACTTGGCCCTGGTCATTCAAGGGAGTGAGGTGGAGACAGAGGAAGCCCTGAGCCGAGTCCCAGGCTGTTCCTGGCAGCTTGCTGATCCCGAGGCTAGATTGGATGCCTCCCTAGATCCCTATGGCCAGCTCCTGGATCCACAGGCATTTACTGAGCACCTGCTGGAAAGTGCCCTGAGCGGGCACCAGGCACGCAAGGCAAATGAAGCGGTTCCTGTCCTCAGAGAGCTCAGGGAACTGAATTCCAAGGTCAGGCCTGGCATTTGGGTCCCAGTTTCTGCCTTTCCTACCGTCCAGCATTTAATACCATCCCAAATGGCTGTATTCCCAAAGACACTCCTTGATCTCCTCAGCGCCTCTCTCCCCCCATCCCCCCGCCCGGAACCATGCTTTCCCAAGTCACACTGCAGCGACTTCTGCATTACACAGGGACACTTAGCATAGCACTGCTTAGGTGCTCATTAGATATTTGTGGAATTTAATTTCCTTGGACAAATATGTCTTCTGAAACTTAGTTTATGTTCATTCACTCATCAAATATTTATAAGCCAGGAACTGTTCCAGAAGCTGGGGATAACTGTCATGAACAAAATGTAAAATCCCTGCCCACGTGGAACTTCTATTCCAGTTGGGGAAGAAAGGCCAGATCAACCACCTACTTTGAATTCTTGTATACTGGGTTGTTATCTCTACCCGGACATTTGCTGCAATCTTGTTTGCTCTGACTGCTACCTCAGTTACCTGCCAAATGGCCTTCTTTCCCAACCCTGGTCTACACAACCCTTACTCAGCAGCGATTCTATCCGAGGCCAAAGAGCAAACCCGTTATCTTATTGCATCTTGAATCAGTGTCTGCATATCTCCTCCAGGCTTTAACCAACATCAGCCATACGCGGGCCTCTCACTGTTGTGGCCTCTCCCGTTGCGGAGCACAGGCTGCAGACGCGCAGGCTCAGCGGCCATGGCTCACAGGCCCAGCCACTGAGCGGCATGTGGGATCTTCCCGGACTGGGGCACGAACCTGTGTCCCCTGCATCGGCAGGCAGACTCTCAACCACTGCGCCACCAGGGAAGCCCTAAAGAAGTATAATTTTAATTTCTTCTCTAAAGGGGTAACTTTTCGTGAAAATGCTCCCAAATGTATTATTTCTGTCTCTTTGCATGTGTATATTTTTATATCTGACCTCAAACTATGATCATCTTTGGCTCTCAATTGCATACATTCGATCATTTCCTGAGTCTCTATGACTTCCTATTGAGAAATATGAACTGGGTCAATGGAAAGTCTTTGGGAAACAAACTCAGACACCCAGGATTCCCCTTTGTCCTGTGAAATGCAAGATAAGCAATTTGATTTGGACATAACATCATTCTTTAGTCAGGCAACTGACGAATAAGCAGGTAGAATTAAAACATGCTGGACCATGGATGGTCACTCTAGCGAGTGGGCCAGTTGCTGTGCTTCGCACAATTTCAGACTGCTCCGTCAGAACTTCAGTTGAGAGTCTGTGTATATGCACTATTGAAAGTGGCCATTAGGGACGTCCCTGGTGGTCCAGTGGTTAAGACTTGGCCTTCCAATGCAGGGGGTGCAGGTTTGATCCCTGGTTGGGGAGCTAAGATCCCACATGCCTCACGCCCAAAAAACCAAAACATAAAACAGAAGCCATACTGTAACAAATTCAATAAAGACTTTAAAAATGTTCCAAATCAAAAAAAGAAAAAAAAATCTTAAAAGAAGGTGGGCATTAAGAGATGCAACTACGGGCTTCCCTGGTGGCGTAGTGGTTGAGAGTCCGCCTGCCGATGCAGGGGACACGGGTTCGTGCCCCGGTCCGGGAAGATCCCACATGCCGTGGAGCGGCTCGGCCCGTAAGCCATGGCCGCTGAGACTGAGTGTCCGGAGCCTGTGCTCCGCAACGGGAGAGACCACAGCCGTGAGAGGCCCGCGTACCGCAAAAAAAAAAGAGATGCAACTACCCATCAGAGCTGTTGGAGTTTTAAAGCCATTAGATCTGGCTACTCTGATAATCAGAATTCAGACTGTGTGTTAATATCAGGATATTAACACACAGTTGGACCAGAGCCGGAAGTTTACTTAGAGAAACTGAAAGGAAAGAAATTATATGCTCCATGCCTTTCTAGTCCTTTTTTCCCCAACCAGGAGTGAGGGTTGAGAGGGAAGGTGGGATAAGGGTGAAAATTTGGAACCTGGGCCTACGCAAGCCACAATAATAATTGTGAGAAGTCCACTTTTGTTTTAATTGACGTTTCCCC